ATAAACCTAAGTTGTAGGGGATACTCTGTATGTGGTTCAAATATCTTTTCATGTTAGTCACTTTGCCGCTGAGGTTAGGTGATGGTCTTGACCCCAGAGGTAAATTGTGTTTTAGGCTATACAACCCAGTAACTACAATTGAAATCATGATGTGAGATTCAGTGTATATTCTGGAAAGAGCAATTGCTAGGCAATGAAGAAGCATGTATTTTAGCCCCTTTGACTATTCATGTGATTGGCATGATTTCTTTCTCTATTTTCTTTTTTTAATAGTTTATGATGTGTAACTTACCTAAGCACTATACGTCACATTATCACGTAATCTTCATGACATGCCTGTGACATAGGTACTGTTAACTGTATGTTTTACCAATGAGGATGCAGACAGTTGGCCCCAGGTCACACACCTAGAAAGATATGGCACTGGGATTTCAACCCCTGTAAAATGATTCCAGAGTCTGTAGCTTTAAGTCGTGTTACTACTTACTTCTCTTCTAATCTTACTGAGCATTTGACGTTTTCAGTACTTAGAAATCCAATGCTTCCATCTTAATAAGAACTTCTACAACCCTCATGTTTTTATAGGCCCCAGTGTCACTGACCTGGTGTCTGACAAACTTAATCTTTTTCTCCATCTGTCCACATAATAAATATAAGAAACCAGGGCAAGTGAGCTCAAAGTCAAAAGGAAAAGCCAGCAGCAGGGCATGCTGTACGGCCTTTCCCGAGGAAGAGACAAGACTCAGGAAGCACATTTGTGACACACCATGCACTTTTCGGGGTGTGTCAGTCATCTTTGGCAGATCCTGTAGATAATTCTGCATTAAAAAGCTCATTGCATGCTGTGAAAAAACAGACAACTTAATATTTATTGGACACTTTATTTCTTGTGTCCAGGGTTAATAATACTAAGTATTTTCTGTGCTTTTGAGAACCCTCCTAAGTTATCTTTTTTAAAAAAGTAAGTTTCTAGTCCTAGGAGGTCAAATGCAGAGGTTTTGGAATAGAGGCATGAGTTTGAAAGGTAAGTCAACACCGAAACTGATGTTAACAGCAGTTTACTGAGTGCCCTTCTAGTGTCAGGCACGCACCACCTTTTATCACCTCACATAAGCCTAGATTAGTTATCAGACCCCTGGGCAGCGGTTTGCCAAGAGGACCCAGCTTCCCAGGTGGTTGGACCTTATGTGAGCCAGACAGCGAGTTGCACGGAGGGAGTGGGCTCTCGAGCCGGTCACTCGGGTGCACCTGCAATGGCCTCAGATGGGTTCACATGCAGCACCAGCAGCAAAGGACCTTAGTTCTTCCCTGCCATTCACCACGTCCATTCACTTCTGTCATGGGGCCTGCTCAGGTCTTTCCCCCCCGCCCCCCACAATTAGCCACACACGTTACAAAGGCCAAAGAGAACATTACTTGTTTTGAAGAAACCTGACATCTTTGTCACCTGGACTGAGGAAGTGCTGGTGTAGAAGCACTGCATTATCTTGAGAATGGTTTAGAAGCCAGGAAGACAGTTGGAAACAGGTGACCGTAATTCAAACGTGGCCTAGATGGTCTTGCCTCCCATTAAACGTATTTGCTAATCATAGCCTCGCACTTCCTACCGGCACTTGCTCCTAAGGAATCTTAATTCAGAATAACTGGCGAGATAGTTTTATGGAAACACCTTTGAGCGGACTGCACTCCTTCGCCGCTGTAGCTGGCTTGATTCATTCCCTGGGGACATTCCTCCATCAGGATGCTCTCCACTTCTTGCCAAGTATGTGATCTTACTGTCCAGTCTATCTGGGATTTCAAGTTTTCAGTTTTAGGAGGAATGACGCCTCCCAAGTTTTAAGAGGACTTGGAAAGAAAATGGCAAAACTGCTTTCTATAAATTTTGAAGAATCCTGGAGGCTGGGAAAGGTGCTGGAAAACTAAAAATGCACAGTTGGAATCCTGGTTTGGGTGAGTCTTCAAATGGAGGAATCTCATCGCAAGATTCTTGAGAATTTCTTAGGATTAACATGTAAAATGTTGAAGCAGTTGGTAAGCACATTGTGCCAGGCAAAGTGAGTTACTTTCTTCTTTCCTCCCCTCTCTTCCCTCCCTTCTTCCTCCTGTCTTTTTGCCCCCTCCCTCTCTGTAGTTAGCAGGATTACAGGGCTGGTAGATAGCAGATGTGGTATCAACTGGTATGCAGATCTTTGGAATTGAGAACCGAGGACTAAATGAGAGAAGAGGTATGCAGGTCTATCAAGAGGGATGAGGATGTTTGTAGACCCATTCTCATCTGCTTGAGATTACCTGAGTAATAGCTTAGTAATAGTAATAGTTTCCCCTCTCTACACCCTCCTGAGTGTACAGACTGATGCTGGGGTTTGCTCACTGCCCTGCAGCACTCAGTGTCTGACACATAATAGACGCTCAATAAGATGTTGAAGGAATCAGTATTTGTCCACCTAGTATTGCCAGTGTATTATTGACTTCTTACATTTGTGAAAGCAGATGGAGTGAATGAGAGCTGGGAATCCAAGCTAATCTTGCTTGAGATTATCTGAGTAATAGCAGAAGTTCTGCTTCTAGAAGTTCTGGTACTGGTAGTGTCCCTGGGGTCTCCCTTCACTAAATCCAGTTTACAGCTCTGGAAAATGAAATGCATGTGAGCTACGAGTAACTCCTGAAACTTCCACCTGTTGTGTATACACGAAGTGCAGTGGGAAATGGAAGTCCTTGTCTTTACCCATGCTTACCAGTTTACATGTCCTGCCCTCTTCACAGTCCCCTTGCATAGGTATGTGTTTGAACACTAAAGGCAGAGGGAGCACCTTGTGACCCCAGGGGCCTCTGCCCACTTGCTGCGAGTCTGATTGAGTCCTAGATGCCACCAGGGTTCAGCTGCTTTTGAGAGGAGGCAGCTATCTTTTGCAAAAGCAAAACAGGGAAAGACAACACTGCCAAAGAAAACAAAGCCTGTTGTCAAATATGGTTTGTTCTTACGGTCCTTTCAAAAAATGTTTGTAAAGGGCAGGTTTTATGCTGGACTTGAATATGCAATAATTCTCTTGACCCTACGGTAGGACCTTCAGACTGACTTTGCATGGCTCTTGGCCCGTGAGCAGTGTGCCAGAACGAAGCTGCCAGTTCCCCCTCACGTTGCTGCTCATCATCGAACGGACACTCACTGGGTACCTCTGTCTGCCCCTTGACGCTTAGAAGCACCGTAAAACTTCAGAAGTGCTCTCTTACACTCTTGAGTATTTTAGTCATCGTGGCAGCGCTGTGGGAGAGGTTGGATAAGTGTCCTTCATTCTGATTGCCAGATGAAAACAGGCTTAGAAGGCTTCAGTGGTTTTTAGAAGATCATAAAATAAACCCGTTTTAGCAGATCCCCAACTAGAATTTTGTTTGGCTCCTAGTTCTTGTATGTTCTGGAGAAAAGAGTGTTTACTTAAAAGTAACTATTTAAAAAAAAGTAACTTTTTATAGAAGGTGTCATCAGCGTTACCCATATTGTGGCACTTGCTGTAGGGACATTTGCGCCTCTGCCACCGCCTCTCGCCTCAGCCCCCCGCACTGCCATTCACACTCATAGACGCTTGTCTCTGCGGCAGCCGGGGGCTCTGTCAGGGTGTAAATCACCTCAGGCCACGTCACTGCCCCCGTCTCCGCCTCAGGTACAGGAAAAGCCACATCCTTACGACTCTGTGCTAGAACCTGCCTTGACCAGCACCCCCACGGCCTCTGACCATATCGCCCTCTCCTGCCCCTCCCTCCTGTCCTTCATCAGTCCCCTCCGTTCTCCGCCTCCTTGCCATTCCTCAGGTGCTGCAGGCCCACATCCCACAGACCTTTGCCTTCCTCTGCTTGAAACTCCCTTCTCCCTGACAGCCGCAGTACCTGCTCCCTGGCTGGCCCAGGTCTCTGCTCAGACGTCAGCTTCGCGGGAGGCCTGCCTGACTGCACGCCTCCACGTGCCAGCCCTGCAGCCTCATCACATACTTACTCCTTGTCCCCCGGGCCTTGCTTTATGGTATATTTTTATCAATTACTTATCACCACCCAAGAAATAAATATATTGCCTGTTGCCCCTCTCTACACCCTCCTGAGTGTACGGACTGATACTGGGGTTTGCTCACTGCCCTGCAGCACTCAGTGCCTGACACATAATAGGCGCTCAATAAGATGTTGAAGGAATCAGTATTTGTCTACCTAATGTTGCCAGTGTATTATTGATCTCTTATATTTGTGAAAGCAGATGGAGTGAGTGAGAGCTGGGAACCCAAGCTGCTAATTAGCTATCATGTAGAAACAAATGGACACCTGAGCCAAAGCCCTGGCCCTCTCCACCACTTGATAATTTGTGTGTTTAAAAACTGAAATAACGGGGCGCCTGGGTGGCTCAGTTGGTTAAGCAACTGCCTTCGGCTCAGGTCATGATCCTGGAGTCCTGGGATCGAGTCCCGCGTCGGGCTCCCTGCTCAGCAGGGAGTCTGCTTCTCCCTCTGACCCTCTTCCCTCTCGTGCTCTCTATCTCTCATTCTCTCTCTCTCAAATA